CGGGGTCGTCGCAATATGCGTTTTTGCGTTTGCATATTATGCAAAAACGCATAAAAAGTTTAAAAAGGACTAAGAGTTATGAAGTTTGATCCGTGCCTGAATCAAACTGAAAAATGCGAAAATCAGCACCCCTTCTTCAAAATCAGACAACACTAACCTTCATCAAGGTAGCAATTTCAGGCGGGAGTGGAGCAAGTGATATTTGCGTCTTACGAAACATCCTGCAATTGAAAATAATGCAATTAAAATTTAATTTTCGCTCGCAGCGAGCTACTACGATTTTACTGAAGAATCTTCTGGTGGACAGCGAAAATATTCCGAAAAAGAGGCCCGTCGAAATGTCAAACTTATAGTCACAAGAGCGATTGCAGAAGGAGCAACAAAACACAACATGTATTATTAAAAAATTAGCATTCTTCATTTCCACTTTCTGTGAAAGGATGAAGCAATCTAAATTAACCCGCACTCGCGCTACTAGTGTCGCAAAGCTGCAGGCAGCCGTCTTTATTGGACAGATAACGTCAAGTACCACTACCATCAAAACGAACGAACAAGCCGTAAAAATGTAGGTTGCCCCATTGGCGGTGCATGATTCCATACCTCAATATGGCCACTAACATTACTGCATTCGCTAAAATTATGATAGCGACCTTGAATGGAAAGGTACCCAGAGAGAAGATCCACCTCAACAGCAGCATTCCAAGCAATCCCAGTCATCTGAAAGGAGTCCAAGCTGTGAGTACTTGGCTCAATTTAAAAAAAGTCCAGTTTCAGGCAGTTAGCACTGAAATTCACTTGTCGAAGAAGATCCCTGTACGTATTGCATTGGCCACAGATTTGAATTTCGGCTTCTCTCGCTTTGTTGCGACTGACTGCCTGGTGAAAGTTGCCGCCAGCCATTCACGTACTTCATCGGGCACCGCCTCAGGAGTGACCTCCGCCAATTCATCGTCTTCATCACAGATGCGCCTACAAAATCAGTAAACGAAAGCTAACTTCGACATCCTTCCATTTTTCTTGTCATCCAAGAGATCTAAAAGAATTTTAATTTTTGATCACTTAGATAGCTGTACGGCCAGGGAATACAAAATCAACTTACCTGAAACTGTTGTGCGTTTTTGCATATATGCAAATGCAAAAACGCATATTGTGACGACCCGCGGTATGTATTTTGTGTTTGTGTGTGTATGTATGTTTGTGTGCGCCTGTCCGGATATTTCAATCCGGCAACCATGCAAGCTCCGGCGCCAAAAT